TTCAGATTCCCATGGGTTCTGCACCTTCATGGTTCAGACATACATGCAGACAAAAACTCATATACATAAAATAAAAATAAATAAGTCTTTTTAAAAGGGGGATGACGAACAAACTCTCCTAGGGAGTGCTGGTGAGGAGTGGAAAGAGGGTGCTGTGGGTGGGAATATGAACTAGTACAGCCACTGTGGAAAGCAGTATGCGGTTGGAAAGCTAGTAAGGGAATTACCGTCTGACCTAGCTATCCCATTTCAGGTATACATCCAAAGAAAGGAAAATCTGTGTCTTCTAGAACTACCTGCATCCCCAAGTTCATTGCAGCATTGTTCATGATTTGGAATCAGGGCTGGGGGGCATTCAGCTTGGTTGGCTTACCTAGTATGCACAAAGCCAGATCCCAGATCCCCGGGTCACACAAACACCAGGAGTGGAGGCACAGACCTGTAACCCGGTGCTTGGGAGATGGAGGCAGATCAGGAGTTCAAGGTCATTTTCAGTTACATAGTGATTTTGAGGACAGCCAGAGGAACTGAGAGCCTGTCTAACAAAAACAAAAACAAAAACCCAAACCAAACCAACTCAAAAAATCTATGGGCTGAAGAGATGGCTCAGTGATTAAGAGTACTTACTGCTCTTCTAGAGGACTCAAGTTGGGTCCCCAGGACCCCTATCATGTGGCCCACACCACTTGTATTCCAGCTCCAGGGAAACTAACAACCTGTTCTGGTCTCTGTAGGCACATATATACACACGTCTCAAACACACACAGATGCATAAATAAATAGTAAATTAAAACACATAATTGTCCTAGTTTCATTTCTGTTGCTGTGACAAATGCACCAACCCAATGCAACTTTGGGACAGGAAGGTTTTATTTGGCTCATGAATATGGATCACAGTCCATCATTGAGGGAAATCGAGGCAGGGGCCTGAAGGCAGGCCTGACTGCTAATTCAATCAATATTACTTCTGAGCAGGGAAGTCACAGCCAAGGTAAGCTGGCAGACAGGCAGGCTCATGCTCAGCCTTTTATTTCTTTTTATGTTGTTTTTTTTGGGGGGGCGGGGGACAGGGTTTCTCTATGTGGTAGTCCTGGAGCTCACTGTGTAACCAGGATGGCCTTGGACTCACTGGAATCCTCCTGCCTCAGCCTCCCAAGTACTGGGATCAAAGGTATGCTCTATCTTGGCTCAGCTAGCTTTCTTATACAGCCTAGGATGGTTCTGCCTACAGCAGGTTGGTCTGTTCTACTTCAGTCAACCATCAAGAGAATCCCACACAGACCCACAGGCCAATTTAATCTAGGGAATTCCTCAGTTGAGATTCCCTTTCTAATTATTGTAGGTTGTACCAAGTTTACAATGAAAGCTAACCAGGACAGTAATCAAACTAAGTAGGCATTGGTAGATGGATGGATAAGCAAAATACGATGTGCACAGAGGGATGTTCTGCCATAAAACAAGGAAATCAACAATGAGTGTGAACCTAGAAGACATTATGTTAGGGGCTGGAGAGATGGCTCAGAGGTTAAGAGCACTGACTGCTCTACCAGAGGTCCTGAGTTCAATTCCCAGCAACCACATGGTGGCTCACAACCATGTGTAATGAGACCTGGTGCCCTCTTCTGGCATGTAGGCATAAATGCAGGCAGAATACTGTATACATAATAAATAAATCTTTAAAAAAAACCCGAAAAACAAAAAACAAAAGCCGGGCGTTGGTGGCGCATGCCTTTAATCCCAGCACTTGGGAGGCAGAGGCAGGCGGATCTCTGTGAGTTCGAGACCAGCCTAACTAACTACAAGAGCTAGTTCCAGGACAACCTCCAAAGCCACAGAGAAACCCTGTCTCAAAAAGACATTATGTTAAGTGAAATAAGCCAGGTATAGAGGACAAATGCCAGATGATCTCACTTAGGTGTGGAATTTAAAATTGAACTCATAGAATCAGAGAATAAAAGGTAGAGGCTGTAGGAGGAGTCTGACTTTCAGTTGCATACGGTGAAAAGAGACCATGTTTATTTTATAGTATAGTAGCTATGGATCATACCAACCCATTGCATTCCAAATTACTGCATAGAGAATAGATCTTAAATAGTCTCGTCATAAAAATGACACGTATGGAAAGCAATGACATGTTAATTATCCAAATTTAAACATTTTACCATATATATAAACACCACAATGTCATATTGTATGATACAAAGCTATATGACTTTTATTTGTGAAATACACCCTAGGAAAGCAAATAAAGAAAAATAAAATCATAAACGACATAGTAATATACAAAATATAACTTGCTTTGAGAGGAAGATGGATGGTGGAAGTGTAAGTAGGGCTCCCTGAGTCATCTGAAAAGCCCTCCTGTTCCTCTTGCTTTGCAGTGCTGGTCATCGAATCTACAACCTCACACGCGTGCTAGGCTCTATTGCTCAGCTGCCCCCACCCATACACTTCAGACCTCCCAGGAAAGCTGGAAGCTGGCCCTTACCTGACTCCTCCCCTCAGGGCTTGTAACACCCCTAGGTTCACTTGCCTAGTGGGGCTCTTGACCCTGACTCTGTACCCACAAAGGAGAGTTTTCCCCTCACTGAAGAGAAGATGTGGTCAGCAGAGCTTAAACAAGTTGGGGAACTGGTATGAGTGGCTCAGAGGCCTTTGCAGGTGAGGGGACCCAGACCCCCAACCTTGCCAAAGTCCTGCAAACCTCCAGGCAGAATTTTGTGAGCCTCACTGTGCCCCCCTTCAGCTTCCACCAGGCTGCCATGAAGGTCAGCAATGGAGGTGTCAACATCCTGGCCTGGATGTTAGGAGTGGGGACTCCTGACTGGGGAAGTAGAAGCAGCAAAGACAGGAGAGGCTTCCCACTTGTGGGAGATGCCTTCTTCTGCTATGTGCTCTTCTGCACAGACACACGTTGTTTGCCTCATCCAGGGCTGGCAGGCTTAGAGAACAAGAACTGCAGGCTATTCAGTTTTCAATTTCAAGTAAAAGGATGAAAAAACCATCTGCCATGAATTTATGGTAAATACTGTTTTATCTGAAATTCAGATGGAGTAGACATCCTGGTCTCGTATCCGTAGGCGAGGCTTGTCAGTGCTCTGCATGGTGCCTGCTCCCTACCCTGCTACCCGAATCCAGGCCCTTCCCCAAGCCTGACCCACATCCTGGGCCCTTGGCAGATGGGAAGCTCAGCATCCTCAGGTCTTTGTCTCAGGGAATGTTTGCCTCCCAACTGGGGGAGGTAGGGCCTGGAAACCACTTTGCTTTGTGGCTTCTGTTTCCTGGGGTGAGTCATAGCCATGGTTATCTCATTCATTCGCTCAGAAACTGCTCATTTTCAAAGCCTCCCCTGCCAGTCCTTTGTGTTAGAAACCCCTTCTTTGCTGTTCTTTTTCCATACTTGAGCAGTTACCTTTTCCATGAATGACTCTTTACTGTTTGTTCTCTGTCTTATCTCATTTTTCCATACTTGAGCAGTTACCTTTTCCATGAATGACTCTTTACTGTTCTCTGTCTTATCTCGGGGTTGGGGGATTGGGTGATTTAGGCTAGTGGCCCTACTCTCCTGACCCCTCAAGACAGCTGGCTCCAGATCAGCCTCTGCATCCTTTCCCTGGGGGAGGCCCTGGTTCCAGGAATAGGTGGTTACATCTTCTGGGACCTTCTTTTTCTGTGACCAGAATGCTGGACCACTGGGAGAGTTGAGGCTCTAGAAGATGGATCTATACTTTTCAAAGGCTGCCATGTGGTTGCTCCTCTAGATCAATCCTCACAGGGGTTGGTTGACTATACTTCCTGTCCTGGATCCTCTCAGAGACTCTGATACCCCGGTGGGCTGGAGGCTCCCTGGTGACTAGTTCTCCCAAAGAGCAGCACAACCCTGTACTCTGGGCCTCCACAGGCCTCTTGGGTCCATTTACTATTCTGCTCTCTACAGGTTGTGAGAGGATTAGGAATCACCTTCCCTTTGTATGGCCTAGGACCCAGGTCCTCAGTAATCTTCAAGTTACAGATTAGGAATCACCTTCCCTTTGTATGGCCTAGGACCCAGGTCCTCAGTAAAACCCCAAGGTCAGCGGAATCTTCAAGTTACACCTATGTTCCCACCACCGAGTCTAGCATCACAGACAAGCTAGTTGCTGGCACTAACTCCCAGCGCATACTCACGGCACGATTCTGCCCAGAAGGAACTTTCCAGGGTAGGAGCTATGTGGGTCTGCTCTCTGGGACAGTGTTTAGAGATAGGACCTCTACTCTCTGAATTCTGCCCACTCAGAGACCAACACCAGCTGGGGCTCAGAAATGAGAGGGCTCTTAAAGGGGGTTCTAGCCCCTGGTGTGGCCATGGTAGGCAGAACCCTAGCTGGGGTTCCTTCAATTTGGAAAGAGGAGCTCCAGATCTGAGGTACAGCAGCAGCACCTGGTCCTCACGTGGCATCTGGGAGGATCACAACCCGTGAGAACAACAGGCTTCCCTCCCAGGGGCGAAAGACTGCAGCATCCTCGTCTAAGGGCCTAGCCACTTACTGCTCTGGGCCAGCCCTGGTGAACGAAGGGCACAGAAAATGTGGAAGGACACAGTCTCTCCCTCTGGCAAAATTTTCAAGATTACCCAAGGCAGAGGGTGCTGAGGAAGGACCCGGTGTGAAAGGAGCCAAGTCCATCTCCAAGTTAGTGTGAAGTGTTATTTTCCTGGTGGGTGTTACTCTCAACATGTCTCTTCGTATGCTTTCTTGAGAAACGATCGCTCCTTTCTCACACAGAGCGGCCGGGTCTCTGGGCTGCTCTGGGCAGCGGCCTGGGGTGAGTGGGGCGGCCGGAGCAGGCGCAGGCTCAAGCAGCCACCGAGGCGGAGCGCGCCTGTCCTCCTGCGCAGCTAGAGAGGCCGGAGGGGCTGAGCCGGGCCGGGCGCGCGTCCGTTGCCAAGGCCGCGCGGCCCTAGAGACCGGGCGCCGGTGGCGCGCGCAGGCGCGGTGGCGCGCTGCGGTGCACTGTGGGATGGGAGACCGGCACGCTGGGACGGCGGGCATCTGCGGGCACCGGGCGGAGGCGCGGCGGGCGAGGAGGGGTGCGGGCGGTGGCGGGCGCCAGCGCCAGCGCCAGCGCCATGAACGCCACGGTGGTGCGGCGGACGCAGGAGGCTCTGGGCAAGGTGATCCGGAGGCCGCCGCTCACCGAGAAACTGCTGAACAAGCCGCCGTTCCGCTACCTGCACGACATCATCACCGAGGTGGGCGCGGGCTGGGTGCGGGTCAGGTCGGGTTCCCAGTCGGGATGCGGTGAGGGTAGGGTAGGGTAGGTGCGGGGCTGGGTGAGGGCCAGGGCAGGGTGCCGCGCCGGTTAAGGGTCAGGGTAGGTGTGGGACGGGGTGAGGGTCGGTGTGAAGGTTAGGGTTGGGTGTGGCACGAAGTGAGTGTCCGGGTAGGGTGAGGGTCGGGGTAGGGTGCGGGTTGGGGTGAGGGACAGAATAAGGGTTAGGTCAAGGTGAGTGTTGAGGTAGAGTGAGGATCGGGTTGAGAGACCCAGGAGTGCGAAGGTCGGGGTTGGGTGCCAGTCAGGGTTCAGGCCCAAGTGAAGATTAGTCCCTGGGTGCAGACCTAGACGAAGATGGGGTTCGTGCGGGTCAGGCCCTAGGTGCTGGTTGGAATGAGGTCCGGATGAGGTCAGGGGCAGGGTTGGGCTTCAGTTGGAGTGAGGGTAGACTAGAGGGTACTGGTCAGTGTGACGGCCATGATTGGTTGCAGGTTGGGGTTGGGTTAGCGGGTCATGGCCCGGTGCGGGTCTGAGGCCTGGGTTGGGGTCTAAGGTCAGCCTGTGGATTGGAGGGCCAGGCTGATAGGGAGGGTTCCGCTCAGGGTCTGGATCCAGGGTCTAGGGTTCTTTGTAGGTTCGGAGGGCTGGGCTGGGCTGGCCAGGTGCAGGCCAGGTTGTGGGCTCCGACCAGGGTGAGGGTCTGGGCTAGAGGTTGGGTCAAGTGGTTTGGGTAGAGATCTAAGGGTCAGGGTCCAGGTCTGGAGTCCAGAGTCAGACTTTGGTTAGGGGACTGAGGCTGGGATGGAGGCGGAGGCCAGGGCCGACATCATTATGTGGGGCTGAGTCCTGGGACAGGGTCAGAGTGCTGTTATGAGCTGGAGTGTATGTTGGAGGCCTGGGATTGGGCTCTGCTTATAACTGAGGCCCAGGTAGGTTGGAGGTCCTTGTCTGGGGCCTGATTAAGAGCTTGGCTAGGGCCAATGTGCCTTCCATGCTGGGGACCCAGGCCAGAAGGTCTTGGGACATGCCTTACTTACCACCTCTTACAAGGAGGCTTCTGGGCTTCCCCCAGAATCACTCGTATTTTTTCCCCAATTACTATTGTGTCTCTTTAGAGCATGTCTTCCATTTGCTAGCGAATCTGCGGGTCGCTACACTGGATGAGGTACATAGCATTGTACAGCAGTCACAGTTGTGTGGGGCCTGTCAGGGCTCCTGGTAACTTCAGAGAATCACTGTAGGGGAGGAGCAGAATCGCCATGGTACTCCAGAGGGTCTCTGGGACTTAGGGCATTGTCGGGACTTAGTCTCCAGAACTCAAGGTCTCCCCTGGTGTTGTCCCTCAGACTTACTCCTCTCAGCAGGTTGAGCACCTCAGTCCACCCTTCGCTTTACTCATTTTGGCATGTCTACCTTAGCTTGTAATAGGTGCTGTCGAGGAATGTGGCCCTGTGGGTTAGCAGTCTTAGGTGTGTCCAGGAACGCTCTGGAATCCACCCGAATCCCAAGGTACTCAGCTGGGCTGGTAGTCTCCCCTTCCAGACTGTGAGACACTTGCAGCCTATCCTGGAAGGCTTGAGGAAGGGATTAGCTATGTGGAGCCCCATGAAGCAGGCAGTTGCTGCCCTCCAACACGAAGGAGCCAAGAAGCGCTAGCCATTGTGGCGCTGGCCTGTCACAATGGGGACTGCTGAGCCTGGGCTTTTCTTCTGTACCATCAGCCCGTGGCTTACTGGGAGTGCACTTTATCCTGAAGTCACTCAGGAATGTAGTGGGGCTTGTGGGAGGCAGGAGGAACATTGCAGTGGAAGTGAACAGGTAAGGGGAAAGGCCTGCTTGTCTTCTAGACTTCAGTAGATCCAGTGCTGAAGCCAGTATGTTCTGGTATAAAGGTAAGTACACTAGCTGTCACCTCCTTGTCAGAATTGACATACTTGGAAGGATTTTCAGGTCACCGGTGGAGAGCCTTCTGGATGATTTTTCTTTTCCCTGAATATTGCTCTCAAGTCACCTTCATGGGTTAGCTACAGCTAGCTGACTGTTTCTTCATTAAGTCTCCATTCTGTGACATGAATGTCCCTTGTCACACTTGCTGTGCACAATTTAAACTGCCATTGTCCTAGGAAAATCTGAGCAAAGGCAGTTTCAGTAATGCTAGATCAGGATGTGCTGATGGTCCGTCCATGTTCCAGCTGTCTTCTCTAAACCTTAGCTCAGGATGCTCTGGTGCGAGCTTTCTTCTCAAAAACAAATGACCCAGCACAAGCCCAGCCCACCTGAGTAGTGTGGCTCTCCTTAAGTTTGTTGTGAGATGGACTCTTCTGGATTAATTAATAACTAGCATGATGCAGCCAGAGTAGCTGCAGCCCCATCCCAGAGGAGGAGGTGGCATTCACCTGGGGCTGTCTTGCTAGCAATGTTTTAAACCTACCTCCTGGTAACCTGTCACTGTGTACCATTTGCCTAGTCATTCGTGTCCTTACTGAATATCTCCTTACTGAGTACTAAGTAACTCCTTCTGGAGTCCATTCCCCCAATGTGGTCTGAGTGCCCTGGTGAAGGGTTGTGTGGTCAGGTCCTCTGCTATATAAAAACTGTGTCTCCTTGGAGTGCTTCAATTTGAGTTTCGGGTCTCAAGTGGCTGCAGAGGGACTGGAGTTAGGCCGGGTGTTACAGTGGCCTCAGGCTCCTGCCTCCCTACGTAACTTTGGTCCCTCTGATGGAAGCTGTCAGCCAGGACTTGGTGTTTGTTTTCTTTTGTTCAGTGTGTATTTCCCAGCTCTTCCCTGTCAGTCTCTGGCCTCAGTGGGAAGCTATCCTCTTGGTCCTTCCATCCCCTGCCGTGAACTTCCCAGCACCTGCTCAGTGTTGGTAGTCTTTGCTGTCTTCATAGCTGGTTGTTCTTTGAAGCCCAGACCCCACATTTAGTAGCATCAAATGTCTGTTGAGGAAGGGGATGAGTCAATGAGAGCTGTAAGTGTGGCTGGGTTCTGTCCTCTCCTGAGAGTGGGGTTCAGTGGATGAGGTCGATGAAGAGGCTGTCCAGTGAGGTGTGTTTGATGCTTCCTCTGTGTTCTGCAGGTGATTAGGATAACTGGCTTCATGAAGGGCCTCTACACAGATGCTGAGTTGAAGTCAGATAATGTCAAGGTAGGTTCTCCTGTGAGTTCCTTTTCTCCACACCCTTGCCTTCAAGAACAGAGCACGTTTCACAGGCTGCACACTGTCGTGTGTATCATGCCTGTTCTGATAGACGGGTGGGATACAAGGCTGGTTGATTTTGTGTTATGTTATGCTCCCTTGTTTCATTTTCTCATTCATGGCAACTACATGCTATGCTAAATTTGTCTATTGAAAAGCAGTACAAACTCCTCAAGTTATGTATCTAAAAATCAAGATTGTATTTTAAAAGACTTTAAAAAGAATTCATGCGTTTGTGCAGAGTATTTTGATCACATCCACACACCACTGCCTTCCTCCAACTTCCAACTCCACTGGTGCTCCCTGCACTGTGTTCGTGTGCAGTGCCTGTGGGTACTCCCTACACTGTGTTCCCGCCAACAGTGTGTGTGTGTGTGTGTGTGTGTGTGTGTGTGTGTGTAGTGCCTGTGGGTACCCCCTACACTGTGTTCCTGCCAACTGTGTGTGTGTGTGTGTGTGTGTGTGTGTGTGTGTGTGTAGTGCATGTGGGTACCCCCTACACTGTGTTCCTGCCAACTGTGTGTGTGTGTGTGTGTGTGTGTGCAGTGCCTGTGGGTACTCCCTACACTGTGTGCCCGCCAACAGTGTGTGTGTGTGTGTGTGTGTGTGCAGTGCCTGTGGGTGGTCCCTGCACTGTGTGCTCCCCCACAGTGTGTGTGTGTGTGTGTGTGTGTGCGCGCGCGCACGCGCGCAGTGCCTGTGGAGTCCAAAATAGGATGTCAGGTCTCTAGAGCTATAGTTACAAAGTGGTTATGAGCCACGGCGCTGGGAACTGAAACTTGGGTCCTCTGTAAGATCACTATACACTTTTAATTACTGAGCCATTTCTCCAGCCCAAAATATTTATTTTAACATTTGCCTCTTACATGGAAATATTTCAGGATAAAGATGCAAAAATCAGCTTCCTACAGAAGGCCATAGATGTGGTCATGATGGTCTCAGGAGAACCCTTGTCAGCAAAACCAGCTAGAATTGTGGCCGGGCATGAACCTGAGAAAACCAATGAGCTGCTTCAGTTGATTGGCAAGTGCTGCCTTAACAAGGTAGGTGGAAGCCTGCCTTTTGAAGCCTGTCCTGGAAGGCAGCTTTTCCTGGACTGGCAGAGCTGTGTGAAACGCTTTCTTTTAGTTTATGCTTCTGGAGCAGGTGTGTGAGAGAGCAGTTCCTCTGCTGAGAGCTGTGGTTATTTGGGAATTGGCTGGTGGGATGGAAAAGTCCACCTACAGAGAGCTGTCCACTACCGTGGATGGCTCTGAGGGATGCAGGAGCCAGAATCTGCTTTTGATGGGACTTGAGGTAGTTTTCTGTTGTGTTAAACCCAAGTGACAACCATCCCAGTGGGCATACACTTTCATAGTTTGAATACATTAGTGACATGTGATTATCACTGTTGTCCACTCTTCATTTGCAAAACTAACATTCTGTACCCATCAGGTAAGAATGTACTCTCCTGCTCCTCACATCCTAGTAACAACTGTCCCATCTCTGTCACCACGAGTGTGACTGTCCACGTACCTCATGGATGTGGTAGTGTTAGTCCTTTCATTAGCATGGTGTCCTCAGAGTTCATCCATGGTGTACTGGGGTCAGTTTTCTTGCCGCTTAGTTAGCAATAGTCTGCCGTGTGGCTGGACTACATTGTTTGTCCACTTGTCTGTCAAGGGACTACGTCTCTGTTACTTCCACATGCTGGCTGTCACAAACAGGGTTTCTTTGAGTGCAGAGTGGAACTGTGTCTTTAGACCAGTTTTCAGTTCTCTTATAAACCCCAAGAGAGTGGTGGCTGGGTCATGCTGGTTGTTCTGTGTCTGCTTGTAAGGAGCCACCATATCGTTTTCCAAAGGGTGGCACCACTCTGCATCCCCAGTGACTCACAGGCTCCTAGTAGATGTGTGGGGATTAGATCCTGGGGTTTTGTTTGAAGACATTTGTAGTGCTCTGTGCATGTCCACACTGGCAGTTTGGTAGCAGGGTGGCAGGATTATCAGGGGGGCTGTCATTAGTAATGTCTGTCAAATATGGTGCTTTGTCACTAACATTTTTATAGTTTATCCTCCAAATGTCTTTTATGGTGGGAAGGAAATCTGTTTAATGAACTGTCCTTGAATGCTCCATCTTCACTGGTTGTTTGTGTTAACATCATTTTCTCTTCCCTGGCATGGCCAACAAGCTCTCCAGCGATGAGGCAGTGAAGAGAGTCTTAGCTGGGGATAAGGGGGACCCGAGAGGACGGACCTTACGGACCTCCAAAGCACATGAGACTGATAACAAGAATGTGAAGGAAGAAGAGTCCAGAACTCATAAAGATGTGAGTTGTAGGCTGCACGTCTTTGAAGTAGCAAGTCTTTGTAATTAAGTCAAATGTGAAAAGTGACGCACCTGTACATATATTTTCCTCAGGATAAAAGAAACTCCGAGGTGAAGGAGAGAAGCACAAGCGAAGAGCACAAACAGAAGGAAGAACTGAAAGAAGAAAACAGACCCCGGGAGAAGGAGAGGGACAAGGAGAAGGCAAAGGAGCCTGACAGAGACCGACACAGAGACCCTGAGAAGGACAAAAACAGAGAAGGAGATCGAGAGAAAGCCCGGACACGCACCAAGCAGGACAGGGACAGAAGCAACAAAGACAGAGACAGAGAGGCAGAAAGGGACAAGGAGAGGGACAGGAGGGGTGAGGGGGGCAAAGAAAAAGAGAGGATGAAGGACCGAGACCGTGACAAGGGAAAAGACCGGGAGCGGCGGAAAGCAAAGAATGGGGAACATTCTCGTGACCCTGACAGGGAGAAAAGCAGAGATCCAGACAAGCCAGAGAAAAAGGCATGGTCACGATCAAGACTTTCCTTCTTTTCTTTAAGATTTTATTTGGTATTTTTAGGTTTATGTGAGTGAATGAGTTTGTGTACCATGTATGTGCAGGAGCCCCTGGGGCCCAGAGAGGGTGTCACATACCCTGGTGCTGGAGTTACCAGAGGTTCTGAGCTGCCGTGTGGATGCTGGGAACTGAACCCAGGTCCTCTGCAGGGCCAGCCAGCGCTCATAATCCCTCCAGCCCCGAGGCCCACTTGGAGAGTGTGGTGTGCTCTCTAACACAGTATCTGTCCTACTTTTGCTTTTTTAAAGATTTAGTTTTTATTTTTAATTTTTTAAAATTTGTGTGAATCCATGTATGCTGGATGCATAGGTGGTTGTGAGATGCCTGATGAGTGGGTGCTGAGAATCGAACTCTACATCTCTGCAAGTGTTAGCAGGGACTCTTAACCTCTGAGCCATCTCTCCTGCTCCTGAACCTGTCGTCCTGGAATATTTGCAACTGTGAGTTGTGGCTGTCTTTGATTCCTTGTACTAATCTAGGGATATAGTAGTTTCTTGCCAGGCATCTTGAATGAATGAATGAATGAACGAATGAATGAATGAATGAATGAATGAATTTGTTTGTTTATTTATTTATCATTATGTGTGGGTGCATGCAGTGTGTGTAGATGTGGTGTGTGTATGCCTCAGTGTGGAGCCAAAGGACAACTTTGCGGAATTGGCTCTCCTCACCTGTGTGTGGGTTCTGAAGATCTCACCCAGGGTGCTGGGTTTGCATGAAAAATGCTTTTACACTCTGAACTGTCTTACTGGCATCGTTCTTAAAAACTTAAGATGTTTTTGTGACTTGTTAATAGTAGTTCAGCCATTTAACTCAGCATTATTCAGGAAGTTTTTGAACATTTAAAATACCCTTAAGCACATACTCTGGGTGTTATTAAAGCTCACTGTTGAATTCCTGGTCTAATAGAGTGCTGGCACATAGTAGGCATACAGTAGATCTTAGGTGAAGGAGTGAATCAGACATCCAGGGATAGTTGGCTTTTCTGGTGTTGAATGTTTGGATGGTGCTGATCAGTTCATAGCAGTCTATGAAGTATCTTGGATGCCAGCAGGCGAACTGAGATAGGGAGCCAGGGAACACTACTGTCCAATGCTTCTCTTCTTGGGAGACTCTTGGGGTGTTTAGGCAGAGTACCATGGCTCTCAGATCTGGAGTGGCAATGTGCCCCTGTGTGAGTGGCTGTCTTGTTTGTTCCTCAGTGTCATGTACTGTATCTCTGTGGTTTTCTTTTCATTGTTAATATTACAGATTTGAACAATTCTAAAGTGTAAAAGTATTCCTCTTTTTATTTTTATAGTCAGCAAGCTCAGGGGAGATGTCTAAAAAGTTGTCAGATGGAAATTTCAAAGATGCCAAAGCAGAGATGGAGGTAAAGTTTAAAAAACAGGTTCTCTTTCTGTGTGTGTTTGCTTTTCTGGTGCCATGATAAAACACTGACCCAAACCAACCTGGGGGAGGTAAAGGCGTATTTGGTCTATACTTCCACACCACAGTCTATCATCAGAGGAAGCCTCGAGGCAGGACCATCTGAGGGAGGCAAATTCTTTCTCCCTTCCCTTTCCCTTTCCCTTTCTCCCTTTCCCCCTTTCCCCTTTTCCCCCTTTCTCTCCTCCCCCTTTTCCCTTCCCCCCTTTCCCCTTTCCTTGTTCTGTTCTGTTCTGTTCCCAGACAGGATTTCTCTGTGTAGCCCTGGCTGTGCTGGAACTTGCTCTGTAGACCAGGCTGGCCTCAAACTGAGAGACCAGCCTGTCTTTGCTTCCTCAGTGCTGGGATTAGAGATTTACACCATCACACCCAGCTCTTGAGGGAGGCAGCTGTTTTTTTTTTTAAAGATTTTATTTATTTATTATGTATACAACTTTTTGCTTTCTGCTTCCATGTATATCTGCACACCAGAAGAGGGCACCAGATCTTATAACTGATGGTTGTGAGCCCCCATGTGGTTGCTGGGAATTGAACTCAGGACCTCTCGAAGAGCAGTCGGTGCTCTTAACCGCTGAGTCATCTCTCCAGCCCAAGGGAGGCAGTTCTTAAATTGAGGTTTCTTCTTCTCTTGTTTCCTCGTTGGTGGCAAGTTAACAATAAAAACCAGTATTGTGTGTGTGTGTGTGTGTGTAGATTGGAGGACACCCATGGTGTCAGTCCTCTCTCCCACCTTTTTTGAGACAGGGTCTTTGTTTTTCTGCTTTATACCCCAGGCTAACTGGGCCAAATTTCCTGGGGTTCTCCTGTCCTCTTTCTGTAGGAACAGAGGGATTGTAGACATTTGTTCTGTGCACCCAGCTTTTCTGTGGATTCTGGACTTCCAAATTCAGGTCTTTACACGAGTAGGCATTTTACTTTTCCTGATGCTGTGATGAAAATCCCCTGACAAAAGCAACTTAAGGGAGAAAGGTTTTGATTTGGCTCATAGTCCCTCACAGCAGGGAAGCTGTAGCCACGGGAGCTTGAGGGAACTGATCATAATTTCCAGCCAGTGCCTGGTGCCACCAGCAGTGGGGTGAGGGGTTCATCTACCCGAGGTGATCCCACAGTCATACCCAGAAGCCCATTTCCCAGGCAATTGCAGGTCCATCACGTTGGCCTATTGAGCTGAAGGATCATTTGCAGCCAGCATTTACCACTGAGTCTTCTTCCCAGCCCTTGAAGAACAGTTTTAAGAGATGTCAGTTTAGACTTGGTGTTGAAGCTGTGAGTGCTCTCTCCTCTGGTCTGCTGGGCCTGGGAGGGTGTTGTGCTTAAATTGCACTGTCTCATGGATGTTGTGTTGTGAAAGCTGTGGCGTACCTGCTTTATCACCTGCTGCACAGGTGGGATGATGTTCTGTGGGCACTTCCAGGTTTATGCTCATCTTTGCAAGACTTGTCCAGTATGTGTAGATCATTCGGGAGAGATAGTGGAGGTGGCTTCCAGGGGTAGCCAGGTAGAGGGATCCATCTAAGCTCTGCCTGGTGAATTTTGGACCCTACAATATGTCTCCTATAGCTGATGTACAATCATGGCATCATCCTTTTGTAGGCTGGACTCATCAAAGGTATTGAGGGACCATTGAAGAGTTGAAGCCAACTTCCACAATTCATCTTGAAGCATTCAGAAGCAGGAAATGCAGGCATAGAGCAGGGCCAAGGGGGTCGGGGTGGAGACATGGGACTGTGTGAGGATGGGAGCATAGGACTTTGCCAGGCAAGGAGGGGTTGGGGGGACGGTTGAGGGAGGTTGGAGGAGGAGAAGGTAGAGAGAATGAGGGAAGAGAAGGGGTGAAAGTTTGAGAGAAGGAGGGAGGGGTAGAGGGAGAGGACTATTGTGTTCTCTCTGGCTCCTTTTGTTGTTGTTTTAAAACCATGTTAGCAGTTTTTACTTACAGAGTTCTGTACAAATCCACTTCAGTAATGGAGCGCAGTCATGTACCATGTGTGACGTCTTGATAAGAGATGGGCTGCATCTAAGATGGGGGACCTGTAAAGCTCTATAGCTAATTAACACTATAGCATCTTGGTTTGTGCAAATGCTACACCCTGAGGTGTGGAGTCACTGAGGAACTCACCTACTGCACAGCATAGTTTGACAGGTGTCTTGTCCTTCAGCTTAGGACTGTGGCAACAGAGCTAGGCTCCTTATAGGCACATCTCCCAGTGTTTCTCTCAGTAAGTGGCACAGAGGGACTAAATGGAGGGCGAGAAGATTTGATGTCCTCTGTGTCTTAGGTTTGAAGATGTAGTCACATGGGGCTGGTATGGTCCCTCAAGCCAAAGGATGTAACCCTTTACTCTCTTCCAGCAGAGCATGAAAAGTAAGTTCTGATGGGCTCCATGTGCCATGTGCCAAGTAACTCTCTTTCTTCTCTTTAAGGCTGAGGTTTCTGTGGGAGCATCCAGGTCCTTGACATCAAAAACGACAAAACGGAGATCTAAGAACTCACTGGAAGGTACTGCAAAGCTGCCTGTGCATGCAGCTGAGATGGAGGCCGGTCTTTATGTATGGCCAGAGTGTAGGAAATCCTGGGGAGCACAGCACTGTCACAGTTGGGGGTGGGTGGGTGGGTAAACTGTGAAACTGGAGATTGTGTCTTCTGCACATATTCACAGAGGGGCATGTGTACATATATATGCCTCCCAGCGCAGGAGAACCTGTTGCAATCTTAAGGGTGCATTGAACTTCCTTTCAGAATTACTTGTCAGTCATCTCCGTCTCATTGGTTCTTCTGCTCTGATAGAAAGAGCTCAACCCTGTTGCAGATCAAATACAGAGCCCACAGACAGATGTTGTTGCACTTAGAGAAGGAATCATGTTGAATGCTGAACTCATAGGCCTGGCCTGGGATTTGCTCAGCAGACCAGCAGACAGGCCAGGAGAGCCTGGGGACCCTGGGACAGCCACTAGTGTTGGAGGCGCCCTAACTTCACTCAAGTGTGGAGTGGCTTTGTTGAGCAGTAGTAGTTTTGGAAGAATCACCCTCTTCCTAACTTGGGATGTTGTGAGAGGCAGGAGTATGGTGTTTGGGGTTTTTCACTCAGTAATGACTCTTGCCTAGCTTGTGATGCTGCGGTAACATTTTATGTCGAAAAGCCTTTTCCTATGCCTGCCCTCTGTGAAAGAAGCCCACAGGAATGGTTGCTGGCCTAAGGGCGAGGGTGATGTTAGGCCTGAGCCACAGGGCCCCATGGACACCCATCCCATCCCTTCCCTGTGCTTCAAAGCTCCCCAGGTGTCACAGATGTGGGGTGTGAATTCTAGTGGGACTGCATTTCCCTGGGTCAGCAGTTTTGGGTTGCTCCGATGCACCTGTTGCTCTGCCTGACTGCTGTGAAGTCCAGTGGTATTCATTTCACACACCCCTTGTTAGGGTGTCTGCAGGGTTTGAATGGTTCCCCTCTGGCTTCTTAGTTATTCACTTGGCTTGCCTTCTGAATTGCCCGAACATGTAATATTTTAGCTACTTGTGGTTTTTGGTGATGTGTCTAGAGATTGGAGACGTGAAGATTGGTCTTATCAGACATTTTTATTATTTAGGCTTTTAAATGAATTCCTTTTTGTAGTTCATGGTATAAGCTGAGACTCTGGATTGTTGAGGGTAGTGTCCTGGTGAGCTGCGCTGTCTTGTTACCTGCCCTCTGCTGCTGTTCTTTGTAAAGAAGTTTTATTTAAATTAAGCCGTTTGATTTGTTTATCTTTACAGAGTAAAACAAAATTTTTCTTTTTGAGACCAAGTCTCACCATACAGCCCTGGCTGGCCTTGAATTCAAATATTCCTCGGCTTCTGCCTCCTGAGTGCTGGGATTAAAGATGTTCACCATCATGCCTGGGGTGTTGTATTTTGCTTTTTCTTCTAGTTAAATTTCTTTCAGATAAATGAGTTTAAATCACTTATCCCTTATATTTACCCTACTGCCAGGAAGTAAGAAGACTAACTTGTCATGACTTGTGTTAACTGTGTTTTCCATAATTTGGGAAGTCCTGGCTGTGTGTGTGGTATGCTGGGGTGTCTTTTAGTTGAGGTGATTGTTGATACCTTGTGTTGTTTTATTTCTGGGAGCCCTGTTTTCCTCCTCACCCTGCTTTTTCTTGGTGGTTTTGTTCGAGATAGGGTCTTACTATATAGGCAGCCTCAAACACACTTTGTAGTCCAGCAGGCTGCCTCAGCCTCCTGAGAGCGGGGATTATAGGTGTGCATTATCACACCCTCTATTCTAATGCTTGCTAGTTTGTGGAAGCTTTGTGACACTGTCTCCCTTCTCTGTGTCTCCTCTCTTCTGTGATCCTCAAGAGAATATTCCATCAGGGACTTGCAAGAAATCTGACTGTGAGCCTCACTAAGCTGGCAGCTTGGTGGACTTTTCTCTTCCCAGCCTCACTAGCCAGACACTGATTCACTGGAGGTCCTTCCCTCAGCAAGACTGGCACCACACCAGACATTCTGCCTTTCTTGAGTGGGTCATCATTTGAGCAAATGCCCTGAACCAGAGGTGCCCAGGACACAGGGCTTAGGTGTTTGGTTCACAGGGTAAACCTTGTATCCACTATGAAGAACAGGGATTCAGACATGAATAGACTCTTAAGGCTCTTCTGGAATTACCATAGCACTTAAGAGACATATGAGAATATGACACTTTTCCTTACTCAGAAACAGCTCATATTTTATATATTTCTAGCATATACATATACATATACATATACATATACATATACACTTACATATATATATATACATACATATACACATACATATATATATATACACATACATATATATATATATATATATATATATATATATTCAGAACTTACTGAATTCATCTTAGTTCCTTTGCTTGGTAACTGCAGCATTTCTAAGTTTAACACTTATTTCCATCGTGTAATTTCATGTCAGGAAGAAGGGACTCTAGAGCCAGTGAAAATAGCCTTTCCCCAGAAAAAGAATGTAACGCTTCCTACCGTAAAGCTAAGAAGGACCATAGCATGAAGCAGCTTGGTAAGATCACTCAAGCAGCAGTGAGGTTGGGGAGTGTGTGTCTGTGAGTGGAGCCAGTCAGTGTCTGATCCTTTGCTTCTGGGTGATCTCTGACCATGGAGGGTGGCCACTCAGTGCTTGCTGCTATGTGACGTCAAACCTTGTGTTTGGAGCGTTTCCCCAGGCTACAGTAGATGGGAACGGACTGTGGGCTCTGTCAGGGCTGCCACAGTGAGCTGCCACATCTTTCTCTATGTCAGCCATGGACTGAGGTTGCCCATTTGAACCTTTTCTTTCCTGGGCAGAATCCAAAGTATAAAGAGACTGACTGCTGGAGTACAAACCTGTGTATGTGAAGGAAAGTGAATCCAAGAGAAGCAGGAATGAGGGACTCAGGCAAGGACAGCCTCAGTAACCCAGGGCATCAGCTCCTGAGCTGCCTAGGAAGAAAGAGGTCCTGTAGCAGGCCTGGAGGAGAGACTGTGAGCTGCTGCAGGCATGTTTGAATGCATGGCAGAAGCCAGCTGTGGACTAGAGTGGAGAGAGGGACAGTGGTTGGAGAAGGGCCCATATCAGCTGGCAGGGCCCTGAGAAGCTGTCTTCTTGGCTCTGTGGGCTGCAGGTGTGTGCAGAAGGCCTGGGTGGATTTTACACAGGGTAGGGCTGAGATTTGGCTCTGGAGGGTGGGAGTGGAGGCTGGAAGACATTGAGAGTTTGTAGCATTGAGAGATGGTGGTGTGTGAAGATGACAAAGAGTGGTAGCTCAGCTGCAGAGCCGTGGTGGGAGCAGGTGAGAATTAGGGATTTGGCAGTGCAATTGATGGATTAGATGCCACTAGCCTGGAAAGAAAAGACTCTAAGGGGAGACCCTCCTGGGAAATGTGGGGTGCAGGTGCTGGTTGGCGGGTTATGTGGCATTGCCAAGAACTCTGCGACATTCAAGTAGGAGATGTCTGAAGCAAGCATAGGTGTGCATATGTGTGTGCACAGACTGCCAGTCATTTAGGCCATGGTGAGGGAGAGTCATCGAAGCAGGAGACTGCAGGTGAGTGCTCTCGGTCTGCAGTGATGGCCAGTGTGGCCTTTAGATGGTCATGAGCCCAGATGCTGGAGGAGCAGGGGGCCTGCCAAGACTCAGACTGGAAATTGGATCAGAGGAAAAGTTGAAGAGGGTGTCCTGAATGTCAAAGGAAGGACATGATGGAGAGGAGAGAGGGCATCGTGTCCAGTCTCCTAAGGGCTGTCCTGGGCCAGCTGAGAGTTGAGCACTGACTGGACAAGGCAGTCTGTTGGTGACCTTGGTAGTAGGCCCTGTAAACCCTAACTAAACCAGCCCAAATACAAAATGCCTTACAGCATTTTAATCTGCTGTTAACTGTTTTATGTCAGGAAGGAAAGAGGATAATATTTCAGCTAAGATTTTAGACTCCATAGTGTCGGGACTAAATGACGAACCAGATCAGGAAACGGCAACTTCAGAAATAGGTAAGAAAATGCATCCTTCAGTTTGACTCCTCTGGTTTTGATATGAAATAGTTCCATGTTGGTGGCACTGTTAAGAGAAACTATCCTTCAGTTTAAAATCTTCCTGATTTTGATACAGAATATTACGTGTCCGTGAGCTATGAATTATTTTTATTCTAAGCACTTTAATGCTCATCATATTACCCCTACCCCCCCATGTATACTGAGGATCAGATATGACTGATTGATTTAATTTGCTAAGTTATGTGATAATTTTATTCAATTGGTATGAAGTAAATCTTTAAGCTCCCTCCCCCCATTTTTTTCTTCGAGACAGCATCTCATTCTATAGCCCAAGCTGGTCTCTAACTCACAGTGATCTTCCTGTCCTAGATGCTAGGACTACAGATGTGTGTCACACCTAGCAGCTGCATGCCTTTTTGTATTACATGTACATACTATTGCATGTGTTTGACAGGCATGATGTATGTTCATAACATTTTGCTCTTTTTTTTTTTTTTTTTTTTTGAGACGGGGTTTCTCTGTGTATCCCTGGCTGTCCCAGAATTCCCTCTGTAGACCAGGCCGGCCTCAAACTCAGAGAGATCTACCTACCTGTGCCTCCTGAGTGCTGGGACTAAAGGTGTGTGTGCCACCACTGCCCTGCTCTTGCTCATCTTGACACTGATGGCAGTAAGATAATGTGGATTGCTCCATAGAGGAGTTACATTTTTATATGGGGATATAAAAATCCATTCATTCGCAATTCTCTACCATTAAGGCTTTAAAAAGTGGGTCAGTGAGATGGCTCAGGAGGTAAAGATGCTTTCGGCCAATCCTAGGAACCTGAGTTTGATACCTGGAACCCACATGGTAGAAGGAAAGAACTGACCTCCACAGGTCAAACCCCCCAGAGAGAGAGAGAGAGAGAGGGAGGGAGGGAGGGAGAGAGAGAGAGAGATTCTTTAAGGCCTTAAAGAGCATGTCCATGGCACATTGTGATAATCATTATAGTTAAAGCTGGCAGGGTCACCCTCACTGTCAGGCACTCTAGTTTCCTGTAGCTTTAGAACACATTCTTTAGGAAGAGGATCCTTGAGTTGCACTCAAGGGAAAACATGACACTAATTTTGATTTTAAAGGAAAATAACATTTTTTCTGGGCTTAACCTGCCTTGTATCTACCAGATTTTGTATAGTTTTTCTTTTTCCCTTGGTGGTTTTGTTTGTTTGTTTGTTTTTGGATTTATTTTTATGTGCATTAGTGTTTTGCTGGCATGTGTGTCTGTGTGAGGGTTGTCAGATCCCCTGGAATTGGAGTTACAGACAGTTGTGAGCTGCCATGTGGGTGCTGGAAATAGAACCCAGGTCTTCTTGAAAAGCAGTCAGTGCTCTTAACTGCTGAGCCATCTCTCCAGCCCCCTTTCCCCTTGTTTCTGAGACAGGGTGTCTTCATTTCTTTTAGACTGGTTGGCAGCAGGCTCCTGGTATTGTCCTGTCTCCACTTCCCCAGTGCTGGGATTATGGGAACGTGCCACCCTCCCTGGTTTTTTTGTGTAGGTTCTGGGGCTCCAGACCCAAGCTCCCATGCTGCGCAGCAAACAGTAAAGTTCTGAAACTATTTAGAATGATGGTAGGTTGCATTTGTGCATGCGGTCCTTCTGAACTCAGATCTTTAAGAGGGATGTTTGGACCATTCTGTTCCCTTATTGGTGAGGAGGTACAATGGGATTGCTCCATAGAGGAGTTACATTTTTATATGGGGATATAAAATGTATTGCTGCCTTGTTTCACGTCAAACTCTGTACGTGGCTTCTCTAGGCTGTCAGTCTTGGTTGGCCAGATACAAGGCTTTTAACTGGGGCAGTCAGTGTTCTTACCGGCACTGTGGACCTGTTACCCTTCAAGCCCATCTTGTGATATATGTTTTATTTTAAGAAGAGCTTTTCCCGTCTGTAGAGGTGGTGGTGAGGGCTGGGAGGTGTCTTTGCTTATTTAGCTGTGACTCCCCCATCCAAGACCAGTGGATGACTCCACCTCTTCCGCTTACACCTCCTGGCCTGGAGCAAGCTTTCAGGCTGTTCCCTGAGCCACGTTCTTGAGCCCTCGTGTTCCTCATTGCATGTGGGTATGGGGATAGCTGCTCTGAGAGTGAGCGAGATGTAATCTATTTGAAACTGACAGCCCAGTGGGACCATTGATGTAAAATAAATTGAAACCATTCTTAGGCTTATTTTGAACAGTTTATAAATCTTATCTACAGGTGTGAAAACATAAGTTCTGTCCTTAAGAAGTACACACTGTACCATTGTTCAGTAGCTTAGAGAGAAACCTGATGCCCCCTGGTAGTGTGAGTGTTACTCCTATACCTCCCCCCAGTGGGGTGGTCAGGGTGTGGCTCCTATGCTGCCCCTGGGTGATAGGGCTGACACTGTGGGTTTAGGTAACAGTGGTCAGATGCAGAGTCCTGGCTTGGGAGTGCCCCAGGCATCTCTTCCCCAACCCATCTGCCCTGCTGCTACACAGGTCTCAGCCAGGAACTAGCTCTGGTTGCTGTCATGGTCACTAGCATTGTCTCCCAGCACAGTTGTTTGGGAATTGAGAATTTAGCAGCTGCTGTCCGTTCTTCAGTGCCTTGCATGAGTATGATTTCCAGAAACAATGTCCCAGTGTCCATTGAAGGGTCCTCCCCCTCCCCCCCACAGCCTTTTGTTCCTAGTTCTTCAGAGAGGAACTGTCCTTTCTCGTTTTCTTTTTGAGATAGGGTGTCACTATGTATGTAGCCCAGGCTGGCTGGGGACTCAGGACCCTTCTCCCTCTGCCGGCGCAAGCTAGGATGGTGGGTATGCATCATTCTTGACCTGCGTGTATTTTCAAAGAAAGCAGTCATCTGGCTGGCCAGGTCTTGCATGTGACAGGTTCTACTGTGGGTTGCCCAAGAGTGTGCATGAGTTTTGGTGTGTTGAACGCACCAGGAGTCTACCCATGTCCCCTCAACCTGGGAACACCTACTTCCTGCCTGCATGGTTGCTGTAATGTGAACTTGCACCCTGTGTCTCTCTAGTTGGACATTTCCTGGATTTTCTGCTGCATTAAACCATCATTTTTTCTGCTCACTTTATCTCACTCATTTTGTTTTATTGCTATTATCAAAAATATAGCAAAGTATAGCAGTGCAGCTCACCCAGTGCCTAGGCTTCATGTGAAGTTTAAACGCTTTATGCTTGCTTTGCCTTAGCTGTGAATTTTTAGGAATGATTACAACATATGATAAAAACATCTTGATAATTTTCTGTGCAGCCCCCAAATGCAGTAAAACAAAATAGATATTCTCTGACATAACAACACTGGGCAGAATTATTTTCTGATTATTATTTAAAATCCAAGCTGTGTTCTAATTTTTTAAAAATTATTTCCCACTGTTTGAAAATGTGGTTATGCAATCAGACTTAACAGCAGCCCTGCATTGCTGGCTAACACTGGGCAAAACCACTAACACAACACCAGAGTAATAAAGGCTGCTTCCGAATACCGGGGAGAGTGCAGCTCAGTGGTTGAAGTGCTAGCCCTGTAAGCCTGACTGGAGTTGAGTCCTCAGGGCCAGTGGGAAGAGCTGACTCCATAAGGTTGTCTTTGACTTCCATGTGCTTGCCCACACCCATGGATCATATCCTCTCAATAATATAAATCAATAAAAATATTTAATATAAATAAATCAGAATTTATTTAGAATTTATTTATATTACTTGACCAGTGGAAGCCAAGCATAATGGTGAATGCTTGTAATCCCATCACTTGGTTTGGGGAGGCAGGAGGATCTGGAGTTCAAGGCCAGCCTTGGCTGCATGTTGAGTTCAGGGTCAACCTGGGCTACATTAAACAAAACAAAACAAAATAACCTCGATCCAACAAAACTAAAAGCAAACAAAACACAACCCAACAAAACAAAACCAGTAGATCTTGAGAAAGGTAAAATTATGTGATGTATCTGAGCTAAGAGGTATATATAACTCAGTGGTAGGCTACTGGTCTAGAACGTGCCAGGCCAGGTCGGGCTTGGATCCCACCACACTCCCCTACCCCAAATCAATGAACTGATCAAAGCAGATGGACAGGAAGGAAGCACCAGTGCCGTGGGCTTCCCACAGGCAGACAGTGGCGTATTTTCACTTTCCTCTCTGGTGCTGGCTTTTGTAGAACAAAAGTGCTTGGTGCTCATAAGGGCAATGAGAAGACTTGGGCTTAGTGGCTCTTGTGCAGTTGGTGGTTCCCATAGCTGCCGACTTGCTTGTTCTTAGATCTTAGAATCTCATCTCATTCCTTGGCTGTGCTCTATAAAACACTTGCAGCACTTGGTCCCTTCATTCAGACTGTTAGGCCAGTATTTTTATAAAGTGAAGAGAAATTTACTTATAAAGCCATGCACTGCTACTTTATGTAGTTCTTCCTAACTAGAGTGGCCATTTGACAGGTAATGGCAGATTGTGGTGTGAACTATTCTTTGAATGGCTTTAAGAACTTACACAGTTGGGTTTCAGGAAGCAGATTTTTCCAGGGCCCTTGAGTTGGTGAGTCAGTTTCAGAGTTGGGCCCGCTCCCCATGCACAGCCTGCTCAGTGAGCCCCTCTCTTACCCTTTTGCTTTTAATATGGGAAGTATTTTGTTTACCTCACATTATAGACTTTTGTCTGTTTTTAAGACTTGCACATTAGTAATCAGCAGACCGTATTTGGGACTCTAATGTGTTGAGGGATGTGTACCACGACAAAAGTATTTTCCCTTTTCTCTTTCTTTCCTGATGTGCCAACTGTATGAAGCTTGGCTCTCAGGCCTGGCTGGTGGGAGCTGGTATAAGTAGTTCTAGGATGGGGAGGTCGGGCCAGTCTGCTTGGATGGGGAGTTCCCTCAGCTCTGGGCCAGGCTCATTTCTGGTACTCTCCTCCCATGTCTTGTCCCAGAACCACATGTTCTCAAAAGCTACCCTTGGCATCCTTGGCATGTGGCAGTGTGGGAACAGAAATGTAAGTGCTGGGCAGGCCGTTAGTCACAAGCCCTTCAGGATGCAGTCTCGTGCCCAACTTTGAACTCTTATGTCAGGATCTGAGAAGCTAATACTAACTGAACTAGTATTTCAGATGATAACTCAGCTAGTCTGTGGCGGGAGAACGCTGAGCCAGAGCCAGCAGTAAAACAGAAAGGTAAGAATGACCCCCTTCACAGCTCTTGGTGGGAAGAGACTAAGCCACATAGAGGAAGCTAGCTGCCAGGTGCCAGTGTCCTCTCAGGGTGCAGCCAGGGCTGAGCATACCCTGATATGGCAAGGGAGTCACACCTGTCTTTCCCACAAAACAAGGTCATGCTTGGTAGCACAGGCAAGACACTCCTGGGCCTAGTGTGAAACATTTGTGATACCAGGGGTGTCATGAATGATCCCTGAAACAGATACCAGGGTCTCTGGTCAGAGCCCTGCAGACCACCCCCGTTCGGAGGACTTTAGATAGCTAAAAATGTGACTGCTGCCTGGTCCTCTGTCTGCTGTGGCTCCAGTATGCAGACGCACCGTTTGAAGGACTGAGGCATAATACCTTTCAGTCTGTTCCCAAAGCCTGGGAGCCTCCAGCAGGCCTGGCTTGTGCTGGGTCTGGCATGGTGGGTGCATCCAGCTGAGGGTGATAGTTGTCAACTAGTTTGAACAGAATATTTGTCTGAGAGTGATTATATGTCAGGACCAAGGCAGGAACTGCATGGGAGACTAAGACTACCAGCCACCTGCCTTGCTGTTGGTACAGGAGCTGCAAAGGTGGGTGAAAACCCACAGTAGATGATGGAGGGAGAGTGGGGGAGAGGGACTGAGGATGGCCTGGGAAACAGGAGAGCCTACCAGCCATCCTGACAGGAGGGTGTCCAGTGAAGCTCGGAGCTGGGAAGTGTTGATTTGGCTGGCACGGTGAGCAGAAACAGGGAAAGCAAGATGTGGGTTTGCAGAGGAGCCGTCCCAGCCAGGTCCTTCCAGACTCCACGTGGCCATGATAGGGAGGTTAGGCTTTGACGTAGAGCAGTGGGAGATGGTGACATCGGTTATGTTAGATTTCAGAAGCTCCATGTTATTGTAGGCTTGGAGGGCAAGGCAGAGGTGAGTAGAGCATAGCTCAGCCTGCAGGAGACACCAGGTCTGGGCATGCAAGGACCTGAGGGTGTCCTTGTGCCTGCTTCTGGGTTCAGTGGAGTCCCTCATGCCTGGTGCTGTTGTTCTGAGTCCCCACTGCTGTTTTATACTGTCCTTCTGCCTAGTCCCCCACCACTTCCCACACTGCTGTGACACTAGGGTCTCCTAGGGCCACAGAGAGGGGATCCTGGGTCATCTCCCCCTTCTGTGTCCCCAAGAACTCTTGCCTCCCTCAGATGACTTCGTCTAGGAGCTCAACGGATGTCCTGTGCGAGTCAGATCCCAGGGGCCATCACCCCTGTACCCATGTGTGGGTGCTCTGATGCTTGTGCCTTTGAGGGCAAGGCTGCTCTTGTGTGGAGATGGGCATGTGTGGTTGTGTATTGCTCTCCCCAGCTGAGGTGCCCCAGCCCTCACCATATTGGCCTTAGGTAAACGTGTTCCTGGATGTGACACAAGGATTATGTGCCTTCACTTTTGTTGTCTGGTGGTGCTGGGGTTGGAACCCAGGGACTTAGAGATGGTTGCCAAGCTCTGCCAATTCGGCATCCCCAGCTGTGGAGCTTTGGCTTTGACTCCACCCTGTGGTACTTTTGACTGAACGGGCTGTGTTTGTGCCCAGAGTCCAACACTTGAAGAGAAAGGACCCTGGGTGCAGGTGCAGTCTAGGCTGCAGGAATCTGGTGGAGGTGTCTAGTCAGTTCGTTAGGGAGGGCTGAGCTTGCTGGTCCTGCTGGCCCCACGCTGTCACAACAGCTTGTTTCTCATGGCTTCCTGACCTCAGTCATTTTGCTTCACTTAGTTCTGTAGCATGGTTCCTTCACAGTCTGTGTGTTGTCCCATCCCGTCTCCCCACCCCCGTTTTTCTTTTTTTCTTTTCTTCTCGGTCTTTCAAGACAGGGTTTCTCTGTGTAGCCTTGGGTGTCCTGGAACTCACTCTGGAGACCAGGCTGGCCTCAGACTCAGAGATCCGCCTGCCTCTGCCTCCCGAGTGCTGGGATTAAAGGTGTGTGCTGCCACAGTCTTGTTATGTACAATGTTGTGGTTCTGGCTGACCATAGCAGACTGATGGGGACATGCTAGAGAAGTGCCCAGAGGAGCCCTGTCCCTGCAGGTTCCCAGTTACTGGAGGTGTATGTTCTCTGACTGCTCAGTGATTCACTGTGTGTGGTTCCCTTACATGAAGGCTAATTTTCTGATGCTTTTCCTTTCTAGGCGACTCCCCCAGTGACGCAGGTGAGAGCGGTTCTGATGTGTTTGGTGTGGTCATGCATGTGCAGATGTCAACATAGGCTCTCATTTCTGTGCTTTAAAAATGTACCAGTGAAATACTAAGGGAAACACAACATTTGAATTTATGTTAATTTTCTGTGTTTTAAATTTCAGTCTTGTATGTGGGTTATACATGTTTGTGTTTCTTTTTCCTTTTTTTTGTTTCTGTTTTTTTGTTTGTTTGTTTTTTGTTTTTTCGAGACAGGCTTTCTCTGTGTGGCTCTGGCTGTCCTGGAACTTGCTCTGTAGACCAAGCTGACTTTGAACTCACAGAGATCTGCCTGCCTCTGCCTGTTTGTGTTTTATCTTGCAAAGCCCCATGTTTCAGGGCTCTTTCCAGAGTATCACATTTATTTCTGATGTTCAAATTCTAATTTATCTTTATGGTTTTCTAAAGTGTACATTTCTTTTACTTTAAATAGTAGAATAAATCCCACTGTTTTAGTAGTTTGGACTTGTAACTTGCAGGCTTAATCTTTTTATTAGAATGAAAAAACTGTGTTTTAGCCAGGTGGTCCTGCATGTTTTTAATCTCAGCACTCAGGAGGCAGAGGCAATTAGACCTCTATGAGTTTGAGTCCATCCTAGTCTATAGAGAGAGATCCGGGCCCTTCAGGGCTACATAGCAAGACCTTTGTCTCATAAACAAAAACAAAACTATTTACTGACTATGAAAAGAATATAGTATTCACTGTAGATAATTTGAAATGCAGACCAGTGTAACAAAATGAAAGCTACTTGGTGACTGCATTGTTTATAACTGAGCCATACACACTTCTAGGACTCCACATGTGTGAGTGTGACTGATGTCTGTTACTACACTGTGTCGTCAATTAGCTGGTAGGATGCGGAGTCCAGGATTCGAGTGGACTGTGGTTTGCTGAGCGATTGACACGCCTGTCTGTCTAGGGGTGCTGCTCCTTTCCTTAGGTTCAGTTCATTTGTATTAAGTTGTTGACTGGATCCATCCACCCTTGATTAGTTGGCCAGTTTGCATTAATAGAGTTTGCATGTCCCCATGTCCCCAAGCATCCACATTTAGATGTGAAACTCTTCTGTTTGGATGAAAAGAATTCATTGAAAATTTCAGTCATTTGATTGATGCCTTTTCAAATACTTATATTTGAAATAGTTGGTATTTATATGTGAGTAAATTTATTTTTGTTACTATTGAATTCTTTTTGAATTGCTGATTGGATTGTCACCTGTTCAGAAGGAGACGCTGGACCTATTGGCCAGGATAAACCTGAGGTGTCAGAGAATGCCGAAGTCCCCAGTGAACTTCCCTCCAATCTCAGGTGTGTCCTTCCGCAGTGCTTGGGAGTGTGGCCACTCCTAGGCCAAGCTGTGGCGGCTCCTGCCATAGCTTCTGCTGCCTATTCAACACTTGTGCAATGTCATAGTTATTATCTGTACACAGTAAGTGAAAACTACTTGTACAGCTTTCTTGTGTCTGAGTTACATGGCCATGTTTGGAGCATTGTAGCAGTTTGGGGAATCTCTAGCAATGGCGAAGGTCTGTCATGCTCCGATGAATGGCAGCTGTGCTGCGTTAATGGGTGTTCATAGTCCTCCGCAGAGTGTGTCTCTGACTGTCACACTGACAGTGGCATTGGAATGAGTATTAATGTTGACCTAGGCTTTTATTTTGTCCAGTTTGAAATGTGTGGGAGTGTTTCATGTCCTATTTTTTTCTTTCCAATACTTACTTAGGAGAGTACCTCGGCCTGGAAGTGCACGACCAGCACCTCCCAGGGTCAAACGACAAGAGAGCACTGAGACGCTGGTGGGAGACAGGTAAGACGGCCTGGCCAGGAGGTTCTAGAGGACTGGGCCCGTGTTCTCTAGTGTATGGGCCAGGGGTACGGGCATTTTGGGCCTATGCTGAGAGACTAGGTGGGGATGTAGGAGGTATTTCTGGGAAAACTTGCTTTTGAAGAAAGGTGGGGTTAGGTCATTGCTTTAAAGCCACAGAACAGCATGCATTCCAGACTGGCAAAAAGGAGAAATGTGTGTGCTCATGTTCATGATATCTCAGAATGCATGGGCCCATGCTGGGTTGTGTTTCTCTGACCTCTAGATAGAAGACTTTCAAAGCATAAAAAGGAATAGTTGAAGGCTTAACTGCATAAAAGTTAGAAACAAAAGGGTATCCCAAAGAAGAGGATATGGATATGGAGGCTAGGCCTAGGGGAGCTGCCCTGTGAAGAGGTGAGGTCTGGGTCTATCTGAGAATCAATGTCTGGGAAAAGGGGGTCCCAAGAGCCTTTGTGGCTCCAGCAGAAGGACCAGCAGGGCTGGGGGAGAGGGCTGGGGTGGCCTACAGCTCTTGGCAGTATGGAGGCTTTGGGCTAGTGAAAGGTGGTGGTCTCTCTGTCCCCACTATTCCCGGAGATTTCCCTTCACCGTCTGCGGCAATGGCAGTCTGGCTTCTTTCAGATAAATGTGACGTTTCAAGGTGCACAGGGCTGATGACAGCTGGTGGCCGATGAGCCACTTCCAATGTAAATGGCTCTCTTCTTGTTCAGGTCAGGAAGTGGTAAAACCGTCTCCAATGTGATCATCGACTCACAGAACTCTGACAATGAAGAGGATGAACAGTTTGTGGTGGAAGCTGCCCCTCACCTTGCAGAAATGTCAGAAATTGAGATGGTTAGTTCACTGGAGGGGCCTGTTCTTAGTGAATGGTTTTAGAAATTAGCACTTTGGCTTTTCAATTTATGAGATACAGTGTTTTCCCCCTAATTTTTCTGTAAGCCGACTAGTTTCTTTGGTTTTGTTTTTTACATTTGTCTGTTTGCTTAATGACTTTGAAAATTCAGCATAGCTGGTCTTTCTCCTTTTCTGCTCAGGTGCCGGCAGGGGACCTGGAGGATGAGGAGAAGCACGGTGAGTGTGCATGAGTCCACCTGTTCATGTGGATATGGCTGTCTGTGAGTGCTCTCACAGAGACGCAAGCGGCCATCCTGTGCCTAGCTGTGTCCTAGGAGGGACACTGTTGCTGCCATCATGTGGACCTGTAGGGAACCGAAGGGCCTGGAATTATAAGCGTGCGCTACCACACCCACCTCAGTCTTGTTTTTTCTTCATATAAAATATTCCCGGGGCTTTAAGGTTAAATGTACACAGCTAAATGCATTAAGAGGTGGAAGTTTGTTGTTTGTTTTTGTTGTTGTTGTTTGAGGCAAGGTCTCATTGTATGGCTCTGCCTGGCCTAGCAGTCACTGTAGACCACTTTGGCCATCCTCCTGCCTGCTCACGAACACTGAGATTGTAAGTGAACAGCATCCCTCCCAGTGCTGAGGTGTAAGACTTTAGACCTTCTTCTTTCTCCCTTTACTCTCCCTCCCCATAGGTACAGGTAAGGATATGAGTATTATTTCCATTTTAAAAGTGTGTGTGTGTGTGTGTGTGTGTGTGTGTGTGTGTGTATGTGTGAACTTGATAGTCTGCTGGCTTTATTCCAGCACAGCGGCACAGTTTTGGCCTCTCTTCCTAGTGGTCTATTCAATGCCATGTGGCAACATCATAATTCATCTACTTAGTCTCATTGAGGCATATTTGGGTAAAAAATATTTTTGTTGTTGCTTGAGACAGCGTTTCTCTGTGTAATAGCCCTGGGTGTCCAGTAACTTGCTTTGTAGACCAGGCTGGCCTCAAACTCACAGAGATCTACTTGCTTCTGCCTCTTAAGTGCTGGGATTAGAGGCGTGCGCCAACACTGCCTGGCCAAAAGAAACCAAACCAAACCAAAACAACCCAAAAAGCAACACTTTTAAGTATAATATTTTATTAATGCATTGAGAATTTTATGAAATGTGTTTTGATCAGTTGTGAGTTTGTGTATTCACCACCACTGTCTACTACACAAAGAAACTTCTCTGATGAAGTCTGAGGGCTGCACTAATTGTGGGTAGAGAGATATACATTTAGAGGACAATTTGATGCTATTTCCATTTAGCAGAATAGAAGAAATTCTCTCCTAGGGCTGTTGAGCTCCTTAACCATTGAATCTTGGCCAGATTTACAGTACAGTGTTTGAATTTCCTTCTATGGGGCAGGTCTCAAATTCAACCAGAAAGTGGCTGGTTACCTCCATACCATTGGCGCTGCTGTTGCACCCATGGGTGTGCTGTGCCTCACTGGTCATCACAGTGTTTCACAGGGTTTTCTACTGTTGATTACACTGCCCACAGCAGCCTGCGTAGCACTGTAAAACAGTATTTTTAAGTGATTATACCAGGGAGAATTCTAAAAGAAATTTAGTATTCTTGCCTAATCTAAAAGAAGCATCATCAGCACTGAAGAACCGTTAGAATCACTCTGTTTGCAGTGGGTGGTTACATTTTGGGGTGTTAATCCACTTTTTTTTTTTTTTTTTTTTTTTTTTTTTTTTTTTTTTTTTTTTTTTTTGTACTTGTTTTTTTTTTG